CTACGCTACAACCCGTTCACTCTCTGCTCACACACACTTATTCACACACACTGATTCACACTGAGACAGAACAGGATTCACAATCTTACATATGGAAGCTTTAAATGTTATTGATATGATTGCAAGTAACTTTACTGATATCCCTCCTTTCACTCCATCCAGGGTCCCAGAGGTCCTCCGGGAAGCAGAGGCGTGACTGTAAGTCGAATATATTTGAGACAAATGAGACAAATATTAATTGATTCATTATTTCTATGCAACATCTTTTCTTTTGTTACAGTGTGAGCTGATCACGTACATCAGAGACAATTGCGGTAAGTGTCTGAATATGTTTGTGAACCACAAAAACTGTGATTTTTAGCTCAGGAGACATTTGTTTTTCATGTTTGTCATGTATTTGTTCATCAGTTGCTTTATGTGAATCTTTATTCCTGAAAGGCTCATATAATTTCCTTGAAGTTCTGTGGAGAATAAAAACAACATTTTGATGTCTTCTTAAATGTAATAGTGACAACATATGCACACAAATTACTCACAAAACGTACTGATCTGTGTCACTGACCCGATAACTCCAGGAGAACTCTAAATATTATTTTTCTCCTCCACACAGCATGTTCCCAAGGTATGTATATCTCCATTTATCACTAGGAACTATGTGGTAAGTACAAAAGTTGCTGATTTACTTGAGATATCAAGATGTGAGATCATCAAGTGAATGTTTACAATCTGTTGGTTTTGGACGAATGTTTGCAGTTACATAACGCTCTTCTGTAATTTTTTAAAATATATTTTTTGGGGTTGTTTTCCCTTTCTCAGTCAGGGCAGCTTGAGAGATGGACAGGACTTTTATGTCTTATTGTCTGTTAAAAAATAAGATTTATTAAAACAGAACCAAATTTGTCGAGTAAAATACATTTAAATCTAGTGTACAGAAACATACATCAGGTCTGCATATGTCTCTCCCACCGCCAAAAATATGAAGCAGTTTTCTCCTTTTTAAAGAGAGAATTCGGTCAGATGAACGCAAAAAACATTCTC